CTGATACTAAGAATCCTTACGATGAGGCTGTATGGGGGTGGAGATGAAGCTGAACGAAACGGCACTACTACTCAGGAGGCTGAAGCGTCATTAAAACTTAGTGACACCTGGAAATACGTGGCTGGGTAAGAAGTATTCTGCCTAAGGACAAGTCACTAGTCTGTAGATTCACGAAGAGGATAAACTCTTATAAATACCTGTTAGTAGTAGCTAGAGTTAGCTTTTCTCCTCATACAGTTTATTAAATCGATTTATTCATCACCAACTCGGTTTCCGTCACACCCTCGAGGCAATGATTCAAATTACTCCACCACGTCAAATTTTCATTTCAAAGAAGATCGAATCCTACCTAAGCCTCATTAAGTCTACAAGTACGACCTAATACATCCTCGTTTTAATGACCACACTTCTCATCCACTATTCTCTGGCCCAGACTAGCAACCAAATACACGCCCAAACCAATATTAATACCCAACAGGGAACGCAAAGCGTGGCGCACAAGTCTGGGAGACAGTTTTTTGGGATGGACGTGAGAGGGATCAGGACAAGTTCACAAGATGATACGAAGGAAGGATATAACCTCGAAGGGCGTGAAATTTGGAATATAGGCAAGAGTTTAACGAATTGAGCTTTGTGTGCGCCAAGACTTCGTTTGCGAGGGTGCAGTTGACACTATAAAAACAAGCCGACGATGGAAGGTGTTGTGGTCCACCTCCTGGTGGTATTCTCTGGTATGGTTTGAGTAGCCTGGGAACCTACTCCACTTAGGAAGGAGACATCTAAGACCACATTTCGCGAGGAGAAAATTTGAAAGATGATGGAGGCATGTCTGGATAACTTAGGGTTTTTTGAGACGTTCCCCTGGGCGGGTATTCACGGATGAAGGATGATTTGGTGTGAAGAAAAAGCCGCCATAACTTCGCAGTAGTACTTGCAAATGAAATCTGAGGCATGAGTGCTCTTCTCTCTTATTGAATCATCTATTCTTTACTTTTCCTTGATATTGTGTCATAGCTAGATAGCTGCATACGCAATTAAAATGTGTTGCAAAAAAATAGCTAGGCCCTGTAATATATCCCTGCCGTACTGGTGCAAAAAGTACAAGCCCAAGGGATTAATCCCGTAACAATTTCAAGCGATTCCGTCTTGAGTTGAGTTTCCTGAAACTGATAATTCTTAGAGGTTCTTTGATTTAATTCCCTACTCCCATCAAGTGGAAGTGTAAGGTTTGAAATGCTACCCTTCATACCCGACTAATATTCCCATTTCAGTTCCATCATCAAGCTCCCTTGATATAGTTCATCTCTCCACTAGGATTTGAACGTATGCCTTACACCCAAGTGCATGGAGATAACTGAGGTCCGGAACATCATTTTGCCTAGACAGGTTTTGTTCAAAATTTCGAATATTGTTTCTCCACGAAGGATTGATGCAGCACAACGATTAACAATCATTATTTGCATTCGCGGTAATTCTGGCCACAAGAATTAAGGGATGTTTTGGTCGACCTAGACTGTTCGTACGTGTGAAACAATTCTACCAGTTGACGCTCCGCACATACATCTTGTTCTGGAGTGTATGACGTGATCATTTCTACAATTTGACCTAATATTGAGGCTATTGTTCCCATGCGGGATGGCAGAAACTCCTTCCAACCATCTAACCTCTATGATTTAACTAACATTCAGAATTCGGTTGATACTATTGAGTTAAAGTTTTAAACAGCTTCAAATGCACTATTTTCATGTTCAAGTAATGACGACGACAATTTGAAGAAGCGGCGTCCGTAAACATTGTGCAGTATCTCACATTTATCCAAGAAGCGTTTTAAAGGATTCTCCCTCCTGAACTTATCATGACTATATCCACTGATCATAAGTCTAAAGGTTTGTAATCTTTAGGTTCGCTACTCTTTGGAACATGTCAGAGAGGTTTTGAGAGCCTACAGGCCTCTCATAATGTCGAATTATCAGGATTTATGGGAGTGTTTCCATATTTAATTCTTGTTGTGATCTCTTTAGTAGTTTTTACATTCCTTATTCCCAGATAGCCAGGGTGTCGGTGCCGTAAGTCTAAAGTGGGTGGTGATTATCTTTCTAAAACTGGAAGAGCACTAGTCAAAATATACTGGTCTACAATCATGGCATCATAGAAATTCGCAATTTCTAACCTGCGATGCCCGAATAGAGATTCTCTACGAGCGTGGCCCCAAGCCTTGCATAGACGTCTGCCACTGAGAAGATTAATCGGACATTCCGGAAGATAATAGTGCGACAACTCATGGGCCGATAAGTCCTGTAGCCTTCTATGGCTGTAGAAGGCAACCTATATGTTCTATCACTCCGAGGATTACCAGCAGACTAAAACAGATACGTAATCGCCACTGGAGCTACGTAAAGGATAGTGCCAAGAGTATCGGAAGCGTTACCCGTGTGGCTGAAGAAACCTCAAGTCAGTGTCACTGCCGCTGTAAACGTAGGCTAGATTTAGGTACCTCTGGATGTGTGTAACTAGCACGGGAGACTTGCAGATAGTTTGCTTCTCCACAGATGAATTATAGCTTTACATTTCAATCGTACAAATGCCCATTCGCTTTCTATATTCGAACTGTGACAAGTAGACGTCCTTAAATTTCATTAAACTATTTTATTGTTGGAGATAATGCACTGTGGAGTAACAGTACCTTTGCCTCGAGGTCGCATGGAACCACTCGCAGTCTTGATAGTTGAAAGATTACTAATTGCTGTTTATGCGCCCTCATCAAACTTATCAAGAGAGTTTGCAGCATGACAGCCAGCTCCCGTATCATATATTAACATATTCTACTTTGAAATATTTGTATTGTTGGCCATTGCTACAGGGATTGAGTCACTCAAAACAACGTAGCCATCGTTGAAAAAGGATGCTCTACTTTGATTCTAGTCAGAATTTAACTTTGAATATTGAAGTTACTTCCAAGCTTTCTTGTCTTTCATCCCCCAAGCTGATTTGCATCCATATTATTCGGCTTTTTGAAGCATCCTCTATAATTGTGTTTGGCTTTTAAATTTCGATTCGAATTAGGCTTGGAGTCAATATTTCCACGGGGTCGCAGGTATATTGCCATTTGACTGCCTGCTGGTTTGCAATTCTCACAAGGTTCGTCCATTAGATCACGAAAAAATTCAAAGATATCTTGATGTCATCAATATCATTTAGAGCTTCGAGTCGAGTTCTCATATTCAACGCTCAAATATGGTAGTCATCCTTTACTCTTTGGACGAAAAATACTACGGCATCGGGGTACCTTACTTTCATCTTAAATTGAGCGAGCGTTTCCATGTCTGCCTGTAAGCAAGTATGAAGCCATCTAACTTAGAATAATCAGAACTTTTCATTGTCGAAAATTTTGCGGTGCCTTGTGTATACAAAACAACACCTGATACCTCAAATTGTTTTTGTAATGCCCCCCCCCCCCACATTGCCTTAACCGTGTCAAGCTTCTCTACTTGATTCGCAAATGTTGTTGACCGGTTTCCTCTTATTATTAATTCCATTTTTGCGTCTCTTCCACACTACTACTTGTATTTGTGGACGTCATCAGCCATAAGACTGCCGTTGAAAATATCAATTTCTGCTAGCAGGCCTGGAGCCCTGAGTTGGTAGTGTTCTGTGAGTTCATGTACAATTGCAAGATTGATGATGCTACGCTTCCCTAGTGAGTAGATCTCTTTGCCTGCAAGCTTGAGAGTTAATGCAAGATATAACGAGCCTGCTGGAGAGGGTTCTTGAAACAGACTTACAATCGTAAAATTAGTCGAGTATAGAGCCACTGAACTTTTTTTTTAAATCATTTAATGTGTATTCAGCTATTCAGCTATAGAGCTATTACACATGACCGACGCTATGTATACATGTTGGATGACTCTTTTGACGTTAGAGACACTCATATTCTAGATTTCATTCGTAAATACCACTCTGAGGTATGTTCGCTTGCACAAACAGTCGACCCTCCTCCATAAGTACCCACCGAAGAGACGTTTCAAAACCTTTGGTTATCCAAGCATGCCTCCATCATCCATGAATAACAGCACCGCGAGAAATGTGGTTGTGTTTTGCCGGATTTGACTCAGCGATCTACTGTCTCAAGTGGGGTATGTGTCCAAGCTTTCCAAACTCTACTTGGCAGAACGGCCAAGACGATGTACCACCGCACCATCCAACCATGGCGATATTTATAGTGTCGCCTGCACTCTCGCAACCGAAGTCTTGGTACGCACAAAGCTCAATTTGTAAAAACTCTTTGCCATTATTCGAGATTTCACGCCCGTCAAAAATGTATCCATCCTCTGCATCATCTTATCATCTTGTCCTGATCCCTCTCACATCCATCCCAAAAAACTGTCTTCCAGATTTGTGAGCTACGCTTTGTTTCCTCCATCGGGTATAAATATCGGAGTGGGCGTGTATTTGGTGACCGGCTGAGGCCAGAGAAGGTCGAAGAGTGGTATGGTCATTGGAATGAGGATGTACTAGGTCGTACTTGTAGACTTGATGAGGCTTGGATAGGATTCGGACTCGTTGGGAGTGAAAGATTGACATGGTGGAGTAATTTGGATTTTTGCCTCGTGGGCCAACTTCTTTGATATTGCGAAATTTGACTGAACTTGGCTCTGGGAGAATATTTCACTCCCAGGTTCGTAGAGGACACCGCGTACAGGTGATCAGTCTTGCCCTCCGATTAGGTATCCTCGTCCAAGTGAGGACGGTGTTAATTGAACTCAGTCTCACAAGTTACTTTGCCCCTAGTTATATTAATCTACCCTTAGGCATTCTCTATACTAGAATTAAGGTTTACCTGAGGGTTGCAGATCACATAAGCCTCGAAGTCCCTTTATTAGTAAGTAGTTCTAGCTGAGTAATAAAATGCAGGCTAAAAGCCTGTGACGCCTTATCTGCACGCTTGATAACACCCAGCTAAGGTCAACAGATCCCTCCGCTACTTCATACTACAATCATCAATGACTACATACACCAAGACACCGCTCTACGGCGGCGCTATCTATGTCGATCTCCCGTCCAATTTTGCGGATGTTAGGTTGGGGAAATCGGATTTTTGTTAAAGTAAAATACTGATGAGCTCACTATTAGTACGATCCGCCAAGTCCCCGATGAGCAAGAAGTCTTTTTGGATAAAGATGGATTCACTAGCATCATATTTGATATCGTCGAGCGCGTTGGCCCTCCCGGCTCAGGACCGGATGTGGACGGACAGGCTCTAACTACACATCTGGAAGAGATAGTCGATTCTCAGGATGATACGGTCCGCGTCTGGAACTCGAGCACAACGAAATTCTCTAAACTCCCGTAAGTAACAGGATTTCCCTGGTTCCTGAACCTAGCTGGTGCCAGTCATAGCATCGTGTCCTCATGGCATAACTATAATTCTCACAGCTCCGAAACCCCTGCTTATACCCTCATCACAACGCAAGCATCGCCATCTAAAGAAAGTCCCACGAGCCCGGACTTCACTGGCATCGTCCTAACCCTCATTCGACTCGAACGAGAGTTGACAGATATCCTCATTACTATCAATGTCCCACATATCAACGGCGAGTACAAGGACGAAGTTGACATGCAGTCCGGGAAGCAAGGCCGATTAATTGAAAATTCTATCGAGTATGCTACAAGAATCTGGGAAACCTTTGAGATAAAAGATTGGAGCTTATTCTGTTAATCTTCAAGCTCTGCATGAGATCATGCGTCTAATCTACGCCAACGTGGGCGTACCCATGATCTTATCTACAAATATGATCATAAAGATATCCTCGATAACGTTGCTGATAAGTATAAAGAATAAATTTTTGTAAATATTCACCAATTACGTGGGTTGAGCTGAGAAGGGTGCTACATGATCATAAATAAGCTGGCTCCTACAAGAGATCTATTTATTGAATAGTTCCTTATTTTCAAGTGCCTTAATATTCATTTTGTTTTGGTCACATGCTTCGATTCGAGGCACTACACGTCACGTCGGACATAGGTTAGAGATGGGCCTTGAACGGTTCACTCTGAACGTAATTGTCAACCACAATCAAATTCTATACTCTTAATACGTACCATGTAGTGAACAGAGGAATAAATTTTCAGTTATATGTAAAGATGAAAATGATCAAGGAGAGTACCAAGTATCATAGGGAAACAATGGTTAGGGCATAAGACACCATGCCTTGCGAAACTAATGGATTCTTGTTAACTGCGCAATCTCTGTTCACTATTGATCTAGCTACCATTAAAATTTAGCCCTGAGAAATACCCTCCTTGTCCATCACAACTCGTCCTTATCGCACCCAGCCAAGGCTCCAAATATCCAACCTGGTGAAAGAGTGCTCGTGGCCTGAGTCTCATACCAGCAATTAATTATGCATTTGCCATTAATTATTTCTTCCTTGTCCTACGGTTCGACATATAGGAAAGCTATATTTTTCCATGCAGCCCAGACCACGGGCTCTGACCTTGTCACGTTAACTCTCCAGCTACTTTCCAGGGCTAGTCAAATCGATCATGTTGAGTTTTCTGGCCATAATTTCGATCTCATCCTCGACCTTGACCTGGTCTTCGACGCCACCGGCTCTAGCTATCTCAGCCTGTTGTCGGCCGGTCTTGGCATCGTGATATCGTTTAGCCACAAGCCCCATCATCTCTTTCTGTGGGCTCGTCGGGTTTTCCCGACGTAGTTTTGGCAGATGCTCCCGCACAAAGAGCTGATATGCACTGACCGTGGACCGGGGCGGCGGCTTTGTCTGTTGGAGCCGACCATGACAGCTTCCGCAAGCCTGGCGTGCTGGGTCGACGCTTTTGCTATGCCGCTGTACTTCCCGGCCACAAGCAACGCATGTCCACACATATTTATAAGCAATGGCATAGTTATGGCGCGTGGTAACGCGTACGCCACGCTCCCCAAAGTGGCGCGCACACTCGGCAGCCCAGGTCTGGAACTCGCGACCGTGCGGCCGGTCACGCACACCCGAGACCATAAAAGTAGCGAGGTGGCAGAACTCGTGGGCCACGACATTAAGCAGACGGTTCTCGTCGTCAATCACCTTATCGGCAAGCTCGATTTTGGCGTGATGCCGGAACGTGGTGGTATTTTCATTCGGCAATGTCTCGCGTTTCCAGTGGGCCCGGCCGGCAGTGGAGGTGAGGTTCTTGCTCCAAGTGATGCGAATGCCGCCCGTTGGCGCAGCGAGTTGTGCAACCTTGCCTTGCGTCAGCTTGTCATCGAGCTCGGCTAGAAAAGCCTCGGCTATCGCCTGTTTCGTGGCCGAGAATGTGCGACGCGCGGCTCGTGCTGTCTTGTCAGTAGTTTTCAGCTGTGGCTGGTCACCGATGGACCGTGAGACCGGCTCGCGGACCTTCTTTTTGACGGGCGAGTAAGCTTCGTTCCATTCGTTGATGACATCAGGCTCCCAAAAGGCGTCGGTATGTGACGCATAAGGCGGCGCTGGAATAGGCGGCATTTTAGTCGGAGATGCGAGAAGTTGAGACTTGGGCCGCGCGCTTCGGGGTGGTGTCCGGTCAGGCCTTAGGGCCCCTGCATTTTCCGTTGACTCGCAGGGTGTAATGGGCGGGCAATGGGCAGTGCTAAGTTGTTTCATACGTGCATTCAACTCCTCATCAGAGTCGTCATCCGTAATCGCTGGTCTCCTTCCTCTTACCAAACGTCGGGCCGGTCGTGGGGCCTTGATGGCTTCTGTGGGCTTGGCTTCCTCCTCTTTGTCCTCCTCTTCATCTTCCTCGTAAATAGACACACTATCACTAACGATAAACCCCGAGAGATCCGTGGTATCATCGGAATCGACGTCGGATGGACCAGAAACTTCGGCGGCTTTGGCCCCAACACGTGTTCTCCCGCCTTCCCGAGTATATTGTGTGCAGCTGGTTAGGCTATTAGCCGGAGGTAATTTAATAGCGAACAGAGTATCTGGGCGATGCGCGTCACGCTTCAGAGGCGCTGTCGAGCTAAGTTTGAAGGATGTCGGGGGCGCGCTGTGCGAATGCTTCGTGACGGCCCGTCTCACGGCCAACGAGCCCGGCTGCACTTGATCTGGTGCCGAGTTATCGTCCTCGCTCGTACGCTCCTGATTTCCCACTGCAGAAGGCGAGTGGTTACGACTTGCAGCGTCCACGGAGATCTTCGCTAGTCTTGCCATATTGTGATGGTTTGCTGGGTTCGATCGGAACGTAAGAGCTATTGATGGCCCGCGCTGGAATATAGGCTCTGGGCTTGTGTGTGACCCCATTTGTTGGCCGAGCAACGAGAACCCATTGTGCCCCATGTTAAGCTATCAATAACGAACGCAGAATCATTTTGGCGCCTTATCTTTTAGAGAGAGAGAGGTATGTGTATGGGACTATTTGAGTCTTAGATTATCTAGAACATTGGGCTACTCTCTGTCCCAGGCCACACCTGTTACAGTGCTGCTATCCCCTTTTGTCACTTCCATTACCTAGCACGTTACTGAACCAAACCAAACCCTTTTGTCACTTCAAGTGTCATTGATATATTGCTCGTCATGAACAGCCATTCAGCTCAGTTTTTATCCATGGAATTAAGGCATATTTTTCACAGAACCTTCTACCCAATAAAAACAAAATGGTAGCAATTTAAACTGCGTGCGCGAGAAAAAGTCTCTAAAAACCTGTAGCCCCAGCCAGGCGAGGCCTAGACACCGGGACCACATGAGGTGCGCATATTCATCTATATCTCCCTTCTTTGTAACATTCGAGGTCGACTTGATCCAATCCACCATCTCCGTATCGGGTGCTGGGTACGCTCCGGAAACTCATCGGATGGCATTTCCTTCATGATAAAGGGTGGGTGATTAGTAGGGCTCTGACTACCATCTGATCTGATCGTGGTTAGCTTCATGAAAATGTTGATAGGGGAATGTGTTGAGAGACGAAGACGATACAGACCGCGAAAGCGATTGCGACTCCTCGTCGAAGTTAGGACAATGTTACTCAATCTCGGCTCTACAGATTCTACAGTGAGAGCTGGAGGTTCACAGGGTACACTACTGACAGGTGTGGAGAGTGGTCCCCCGCCTTATCTTTTTATACTAGTAAATTTGTTCGTCGCTAGGTACATCCTTGAACGCAGCTGACACTATAAACACAAGTCAACGACGGAAGGCGCCGTGGTCCGCCGCCTGTTGGTGTTCTCCAGTATTGTTTGAGTAGCCTGGGCACCTACTCTACTTGGAAAGGAGACGCCTGAGACCACATTTCGTGCGGAGAAAAATCAGTGGATGATGGAGACATGTCTGGATAACTCAGGGTTTTTGAGACGTCCCCTGGGTGGGTATTCACGGATGAGGGTTGACTTGGGGTGAAGAAAAAGCCGCCATAACTTCGCAGTGGTACTCGCAAATGAAATCCGAGGCATGAGTGCTCTTCCTTGATAGTATTCGTCTATTATATACTTTTCTTTGATATCGTGTCATAGCTAGATAGCTGCATACGCAAGTATAATCCGATTCATAAAAACCTGAGACGGATTCCTATTGGTTTAAGCCTTTGCGTTTTGAAAATGTCACGTGACATTTGTCAACACCTGCGTCAGCCGCCTCTCCCGAAATGACACCCTCTACTCGACTAATCACATCAAGGATTAAAATGGATGGAGCTGCTTTGGAAAACGGCGGATATTTGGAATGAAAAAACCACAATGGCGCCAAAGCGAGCAGTCGGAGCCACTGATGACCAGGTATTCACTCTGGTCACCAGTAAGAAAACTGAAGGACTCAAAAGAGGGCCCGGACGACTTCGTAAGCTAGTCGAAGCCCTAAAGGCACCACCACCGTGGCCATTTTTCGGACACTTTGTCGACCATTGCCAAGTGAGGAGGTGACTTCTCTTTTCAATATCTCCTGGCAATAGTCTGAGCGAAGGGGGAGTCATGAAATTCGGGGAAAGTATGAAACAATGGTTGAAAGGAACGTCCTCAGCATTAAGCTGGGTCGGTTCAGAGTGGCAGGACAGTGGGATTTATTTTGTTGAAAACTTTTTCCCTAACCAAAACGGCTTACAGTATTTGTTTTGTTCATTAACGTGCTAGGTTACATGGCTACCGTTGCACTCCTACTGGAGCTTAAGCACGTGTGGGGTTGGGCCGGATCAGGTTAACTACCGTGAAGTACAGATAAACCTCGTCCCACTTTAATGACCGGACCACCTCAGACTTCACCTATGTGTTGAATCATACCAAGCCTAACCGTCCAGAAACCCGCTGTATACACGCCGTAGCGCGATTGACTCCTCAGCCTCGGCCACCTCGCGCCCGAGCCCTTGACATCCTCATTGACTCCGAAATATAAATGCCGTCCAAGATCTCATCGTTGCTCTAGCCTTGCACCTTCATATCGTACCGTTGGGTTGTTTTCGTCATTGGGGATTTGTGTAATCCCCTCGGTGTGTCTTCCCTCTTCTTCCTCCTTTGTACACGTCCCGTTTCCATCATGACTTTCCTCATTAGGGCGTGTGTGGGTAGGTGATCGGACGGGTATAGAGGTAGGTCGTAGGTGTAGGATCGATTGAGACATGCTTCGTCGCAAGTATAAAAGGAGTTTAAGAGATGTCGGATGCTTGAATACGACCCCCAGACAGACCTAAATCCATTTGTGTATCGCATGTTGGTGGTGATGAGATTTTGTTCAACTTTGTTCCGGCTGTGAAATCTCTGTCGACTGATTTTTCGACCAAAATATCGAGTGCAACTCCTGCAAGTCAAAAATCCATCAATTAAATTTCATCCCACCCATCTTCGTGACTGAATCTCGGCTCTGGGAGAATATTTCACTCCCAGGTTCGTAGAGGACACCACTGACAGGTGTTCAGCCTTCGTCCTCCAAAAAACGGCTTACAGTCTCCTTGACTCTGTAAATAGATACCGCATAGGTCGTTAGACTAGCGAAATAAATGATGACTAATATAGATAGATTAACATATTTCTACTTTCCCATCATTTCATTGATAGCTTAGCGGACCAAGTGCTCGTTAAGATTAATGTATTCAACTGTTCATTCATTGTTTTAAATTGCAAGTTTCCTCTGAGTTGGCTTGTCATATATTTCCTGAACGGAAGAATTTTGACTGGTAAGAAATCGAAAGCATCACTACGAAGCATGTTGGACTCGATTAGCTCCGCATGAACATCTCTCAATTAACAGGCATAGCATCACTATCCTAAGTTCACTGGCTGGAGGGCAAGACTGAACACCTGTACGCGGTGTCCTCTACGAACCTGGGAGTGAAATATTCTCCCAGAGCCAAGTTCAGTCAAATTTCGCAATATCAAAGAAGTTGGCCCACGAGGCAAAAATCCAAATTACTCCACCATGTCAATCTTTCACTCCCAACGAGTCCGAATCCTATCCAAGCCCCATCAAGTTTACAAGTACGACCTAGTACATCCTCATTCCAATGACCATACCACTCTTCGACCTTCTCTGGCCTCAGCCGGTCACCAAATACACGCCCACTCCGATATTTATACCCGATGGAGGAAACAAAGCGTAGCTCACAAATCTGGAAGACAGTTTTTTGGGATGGATGTGAGAGGGATCAGGACAAGATGATAAGATGATGCAGAGGATGGATACATTTTTGACGGGCGTGAAATCTCGAATAATGGCAAAGAGTTTTTACAAATTGAGCTTTGTGCGTACCAAGACTTCGGTTGCGAGAGTGCAGGCGACACTATAAATATCGCCATGGTTGGATGGTGCGGTGGTACACCGTCTTGGCCGGTCTGCCAAGTAGAGTTTGGAAAGCTTGGACACATACCCTACTTGAGACAGTAGATCGCTGAGTCAAATCCGGCAAAACACAACCACATTTCTCGCGGTGCTATTATTCATGGATGATGGAGGCATGCTTGGATAACCAAAGGTTTTGAAACGTCTCTTCGGTGGGTACTTAGGGAGGAGGGTCGACTGTTTGTGCAAGCGAACATACCTCAGAGTGGTATTTACGAATGAAATCTAGAGTATGAGTGTCTCTAACGTCAAAAGAGTCATCCAACATGTATACATAGTGTCGGTCATGTGTCATAGCTCTATAGCTGAATAGCTGAATACACATTAAATGATAAAAAAATAAAAAACCCTTGATCAAGGTGGGGAAGCCATTCGAGGAGTTTCCGGAGCGTACCCAGCATCCGATAAGGCGATGGTGGACTGGATGAAGTTAGTCTCGGCTGTTATTAAGAAGGGAGATGTAAATGGACATGCGTAACTCATGTGGCTCGGGCTGAAGGTTTTTCAGACTTATCCCCGCACTCGTAGTTTCTATTGCTACCATTTTTTTGGGTAGAAGGTTCAACGGCTAAGTCGGCCGAATTCCATTTGTAAAAACTGAGCTTAATGGCTATTGATCACGGGCAACATACGGACTATCTTTGAAGTAACAAAAGAGGTAAGGAGTACTGTAACAGGTGTGGCCTGGGTCAAAGAGTAGCCCAATGTGCTAGATAGTCTATGACTCAAGAATTACAATAAACAAGACACATACACAATTTTTTTTACATGCGAACTTTCGAATCTCTACTTTATCCCCCTCTCCCTCCCTCTCGCGCTCGTCGCATTCTTTCAAAAAATTGTGATCGAGTCGTCGGCATTTTAATCATGTCACCTGTTCGCAAAAAGATCCCCAACGAAATGTTGGACAACGCGAGTCCGCCCGTGGGCTCCCACAAAAACACTAGGCCTCGCGCAAAAACTTTCAAGCATGTTTGCGAGTGAGGCTTTCATCGAAGGGAAGTCTCCAAACCTTCCCGACGAAGAGATGACTGATTCTGAGCCCGTCAGGTCAGTAAAAATTCGACCCGAGACCAACATTCCCATCGAGCTTGCCCCAGAGGCAAGCACCTCAAAGAAAGGAAACGAAGTCTTCCGAGAGAAGACGACAGAACACGCAGAAATTTCTGCAAGAAAATTCGCTGTACCAGCTTCATAAGGCACAGCTTCGACATCAGCACCGAAATATCCTCCGGAGCTGCAATCAGTGATGGAGACCGAAAAGCGTCGCACGAAGCAAATCAAGGCTCATCTAGCAATCTGTTCCACTGCAATAAGATGTGTTGAAACAGCACTTTCACCCCCCTCGATTGCCGAAGAAAAAGAGTTTGTAGACGGTATCAAAGTCTACCTTC